CAGACACAGACTTCAGAGGATAATTAGGACTGCAGAAAAAACAATTGCTACCCTGCCTTCCATTGAGGACCTACATACTGCATGAGTCAAAAAGAGGGCTGTGAAAATATCTACAGACCCCTCACATCCCAGAATAAACTGGTTCAACTCCTTCCCTCAAAACAACACTATAGAGCCCTGCACACCAGAACAACTAGACACAAGGGGAGTTTTTCCCCAAAAGCCATCACTCTGCTAAACAAATAATTCCCTCAGCACTGTGCAACTATTTACAAAGTCTGCACTACTATCACTATTAATCTTCTCATCTCTCCTCACCATCCATCCCCTCCCACTTGTGACTGTGTGACTGTAACTTTGTCACTTGTATCCTTATGATTTATATGGACTGTTTCCTAGTATGATTCGATTGCTTATTGTACCCTATGACTATCATTAAGTATTGTACCTGATGATTCTTGACAAATGTATCTTTTCTTTTATGTACACTGAGAGCATTTTCACCAAGACAAATTCCTTGTGCATCCAATCGCACTTGGCCAATAAAGAATTCTATAAAATATCGCAAGGTTAAAGGGAAGCAAGAAAATTTCTATTAGCTTTCCTCAACCTGGCACCCCTGTTGTTTTAGACTACACTTTCCATGCTTGCTAACCCTGAGGGCTGGAGTTGATGAGCAGCAGAATTTGGAAGGAGCTGGATTATGAAAAGATGCTTCAGAAGATTGTATGGATGATTATGTGGCTGTCATTGCTCATCTATTGTGTGTTGATTGCTTAGCTGCTTAGACTTTATATATGCAGCACAATAGTCCTTTAGAATAAGAAATGTATGAATAAAATATTTCCGTGGGACTGTTCAATCATGAAAAGAAGTGTGAGGAACTTCACACCCAGATGATACCATCAATTATAGCTTTTTTTTTTATTACTGTGCAGAGAAAGGCAACTTTTGTCATCAGAAAAGAATAAATAATACAAAAGAAGCTTGGGCTTTTTTAGTGCTGCAAATTGCAAAAAAAAATAAAAATCTGCAAAGAACCATGCAGGTTAATGTCAAGGGCAACAATCATGCTGAATAATAATTTAGAGATGAGACAAAATGAGATACCAGGACTGGATTTTAATATTTGCAGGTTTCTAAAAGGGAATGCTTCGGTTTGCAAGAGGAGAAAGACACGATCCCGTGGGATCTTGTGCTTGTAGGAAACTACACTGATGGCCTCAAAGAAAAGATGCAGCAACTGTTAGGACAACACAAGAGAACAAAAAACCAGAAGTGACTGAAGAAACGTCTTGGATAAGAAGAGGAACGTTTTCAAGAAAAAACTCAAGAAAATCCAGTTGCGTTTTGAAAAGCGCCTTTGGGACAACCATGACCTGAATGGCCAAAAATAGCCATGTAAAAAATAAGAAAACCCCTCTCAGCCCCACTCTTGCATAGAAGAAATAGAAGAAGCAAAAAGGAGAATGTGTGTCAAGCTTTTGAGATCCTGTTATTATAGCCTACATCAGAGGCCTCCAAACCTGGCAACTTTAAGACTTGTGGACTTCAACTCCCAGAATTCTCCAGCCAGCTGTGCTGACTGAAAATTGCACACTTATGGAAGTATGTTTTGGGTTTGTTTGTTTTTTTCAGAGACCAAAAGAAAGCAAATAATATCTTCCTGGTTTCTGCCCGTTATATCCATCAAAGAAGAATTTGGTTATAAGAATTCATACTTCTGAAAGTGAAATCCCAAAAGCCTTACTAGCACAGACCATAAATTCAGAGAAGTGGGTTGTTTCCCGAGAGTTGCCTGGTAATGAAGCATGCTATAATAAAACATTCATCCATCTTTCCTCAAGATTTTTTTATATTTTGTCAGGTAGGTATCAATGGACGTGCTCAGAATCTGTCTCAAATATACAGTTTTTAGGAGCCTTGAAGATAACTCTGCACAACTTTTCTTCTCTAACTTTTAGTTCTGGAAATGCAGTATTATAAATTCTTAGTGGTCCCATATGGATTCCATATGGGTTCCATAGTTCCTACCATTTTTTTTTCAACCATTAAATGCTTGCTAAGACCCATAGTCCAAGAGGAGATTCATTGCTTACCACCAAGGTCTCGGACCTCGTTGTTGCTTCTCTAACCTGCCCCGACTTTTTAGTCAAGAAGAGTGCACCAAGAATTGTTGAGGGTTAACCAGAAAGAAGAAGTGATTGCTACGACTTATCTGATCCTTCCTGTGTCTTCCTTCAGGGATTCTGTCCAGAAGATAAGGGGCATCAAATAGTTGGTACTATGGAAGAAGAGATGGTCACCACGAACATTATGGTTGAAGTTCTCCAAATAATGGAGCCAGAACTAATGCAGTACATAGGTTCTCTATGCCTTGTAGGATTGTCCTGTCCTGGTGGACAGACAACCAGTGTAGAAAAAAGTACATAAAGCACAGGTACTCTGTTGAAAACTCCGAAGGAACCTGTTTACATTCCCATCAAAGGCATCTCGGACGAGGACTGGCCAATATGACAATCATGATTTGACTCACCAAGTCTAAAGGTAAAGGTTCCCCTTGCACATATGTGTTACTCATTTTTGCCTCTAGGGGGCAGTGCTCATCTCCATTACAAAGCCAAAGAGCCAGCGCTGTCTGAAGATATCTCCGTGATCGGTATGACTAAACGCCGAAGGCGCACGGAATGCTGTTTCCTTCTCACCAAAGGTGTTTCCCTATTTTTCTACTTGCATTTTTTACATGCTCTCAAACTGCTAGGTTGGCAGAAGCTGGGACAAGGAGGGCACTCCATTACTCTGTTAGGCTAGGGATTCGAACCGCTGAACTGCTGGCCTTTCTGATCGACAAGCTCAGCGTCTTAGCCACTGAAGCCACCGCATCACCAAGTCTACAGACCCATAATTTAGCACTGATATCAACGAAAATGCACTTCAATCTTCAAACCACAGAGACACAGAAGTCTTTGATTTTTCTCAGTTCAGATTTCCCACATATTTTAACTCATTTAATCCTTTTTTTTTTAGACGGTTGCACAGGGCTGCCATTTGCTGGATCTGTTGTTGTTCCTGCATTCCTTTTTCACTGTGAGCTGCCTTGAATTCAAGGCAAGAGATGAATAACAGGTTCCCTAAGTATTGCAAACAGCAGCTAATATGAATGTTTACACTGGTGAAAAACTGAATGAACACGTATGAAAATTTGATAATTGAATGCATCTTGGAATATACTGTGGAAGAGCCAGCTAGGTTTTGCAGCCATACCTAAAGATCTTCTCTTAAGCAACCTCACCTCTATGTGGAAACCAGGTGCTACCTGAACCACAGGAAATCCTTGACTTCATTTAGTGACCGTTCAAACTTATAATAGTACTGAAAAAAGTGACTTATGACCTTTTTCATACTTACAATTATTGCAGCAGTTCCCATGGCCCCGCGTTCAAAATTAAGAATCTTGGCAGCTGGCTCGTATTTATAATGGTCGTAACATGGGGCAAAACTCAGTTAACAACTTTCTCGCTTAGCAACATAAATTGTGGGCTCAAATGTGGGCACAAGTAGTGGACTACCCGCATATAGGAGCCTCTGTGGTGCAGTGGTTAGAGTGCAGTACTAGAAGCTACTTCTGCAGCCAGCTGCCTAGAATTTGGCAGTTCAAATCCCACCAGGCTCAAGGTTGACTCAGCCTTCCATCCTTCTGAGGTGGGTAAAATGAGGACCCAAATTATTGGGGGCAAGAAGCTTACTTTGTAAACCTCTTAGAGAGGGCTGTAAAGCACTATATAGGTCTAGGTGCTATTGCTATATAACAAAATTCTAAATGTTAGTTTGCTAAGCCTGTCCGGCTTTGATTCTCTGCCTCCTGCTGACTTGGAAAGGTAGTTCAAAGAGATCTCTCATAAATTAATAACCAATTATATCCTTGTGGATTAAAGACAATGGAATCCTTAAACCATGTTTTATTATGGTGTCTCTTCTACAGGGATATAAAGAACAGAAAAATTACACCCCCTTTTTAGTGAACTTCTCACAACAAACAAGCCTTTTTTTTTTTTTACAGTCAACTATTATTGGCAGATCAATACAATTTTACATCTCTGGCAGTGGCCAGATTCCACTTGGCTATCTTTATGACCAGTAGCCAAATTCTGATCAAAGAAGAAGAAGAATCTAGTGGATTCTTTTTTTAAAGCCCTAACTGCATATTCTCTTTTCCATTTCCTTTGGTTCTTAATCGGCTGTTAAACAACAACCAAACCCTTTTTTTAAAAAAAAATGAACAAATGAACGAAAAGGAAAATGATCTGTTGCAGACCAATAAACCTAAGCTCTGTTTCGTTGATCCGAAGGCAGCAATGGACTTTCTCCATGATACCTACTTAAGTAGAGCTTAAATGCCTTCATCTGACTGCATTGGTCAAGGATGGTGGATGTCATAGGTTTTCATGTCTAGATGGCACAAGGTCAGGGAAAGGGAGAGTGTTCTATGCTTATTACAGCTTGAATGAGGTGTGCGTTTTGATTGTGGGACAGAAAGCGATGCTCTTCAGTAATTTGCCAGCTCCACCAAGAATATACAGATAGTTTCTACCAGCACAAAAAAATAGTTTGAGAATCAGAGTTTTAGTTCTGGGTCCTTACCTCCTTGTTTTGGGATTCTAATAAGGCTACAAGATGAAGAGACTGACATACCACAATATGTTTGTACTTGCTCTGTGGATAAGAAATGCAATCAAAAGTTTTGGAATTAACAGCATCCCTTCTCCCCACCCTCCACCCCCAAAATATGATATTTTAGTCCACCCAGTTGTGGATGCTCCAAAACTGGAGGTTTTTAAGAAGAGGCTGGACTGCCACTTGTGTGAAATAGCTTCCTGTCTGAGCAGGAAGGTTGATCCTCCAAGATCCCTTCCAACTCTTATTATTCTCTTTGTAATTCCAGAAGGAAGAGTTGCTTACTATTTCAACAACCGCAGATTGTTACAATGGAGATTACTTACTCGTTTCTGGATTCACGGCTTGCAGGGTAAAACTCTTCCACGTCTGCCTCAGTTTCGCCTTGGATGGACTCTCCTCTCCAGAATTCTTCCGCTGGAGAAGATAGTGCTGGAGGTGCAGGCATCTGAGGAAGTTCAGGCCCTGGTCTCTGAGGGTGATAACCAGGATGCCTGGAATGTGGGTCTGATTTTAGCAGCCCGACAGCCCCACAAAGCAGTAAGAGTGTAGTTAGCATCTTCAGGTCTTCTCAAACGTCTTGAGACCTCTCTGGTCTTCAGATCGGTCTGTTCTTTCAACCTGCCTTGCCCCGTTCCTTTAACTGAAGCTTGGAACAAGGCATGGTACGGCTAACAAAGGGCGGAAGTCTATCATGTGGGCCCTCCCAGCCCTGATGGAAATGTCAGGGGTCAGATGACAATGTGAAAGAGCGCAGAGGACCTCCGTGTGAGCAATGGTTGCATGTGAATTTGAGGGAAGGAGCCGCAGTTGATTTGAGGGGGGCCAATCTTAACTTTTGACTTTCTTTGGGCTTATCAACAAACACAGAGAAACACAGCCCCTTTTTATCAGCTGCCTTCATGCCAGGATACAGGAAAAGGATGTTAACTTTAACTAGCAGGCAAGGAAAAGTAAATATTGAGGGCTGGAGCAGATTCCCAAGATGAATATCGTAAAAAATATCCTGGCACTTGGCAAGTCTATCTCTCTAAAGTGAGTGAAGATGTTGAGAATCTAGAAAGAGTGTAGAGAAGAGCAACAAAGATGATTAGGGAAGCGGAGGCAAAAATGTATAATGTAAATAATGATTGCAGGAATTGGCTAAAGGTAAAGGTTCCCCTTGCACATATGTGCTACTTATTTCTGGCTCTCAGGGGCGGTGCTCATCTCCGTTACAAAGCCGAAGAGCCAGCACTGCCCGAAGACGTCTCCGTGGTCATGTGGCCAGCAGGACTAAATGCTGAAGGTGCACGGAATGCTGTTCCCTTCCCACCAAAGACTCCCTATTTTTCTTCTTGCATTTTTACATGCTTTTGAACTGCTAGGTTGGCAGAAGCTGGGACGAGGAACGGGAGCCCACTCCATTATGCGGCACTAGGGGTTCAAACCGTCGAACTGTCGATCTTTCTGATCGACAAGCTCAGCGTCTTAGCCACTGAGCCACCACGTCCCTGAGGAATTGGGTATATCTAGTTTAATGAAAAGAAGGACTAGGGGAGACATGATAACAATGTTCCAATATCTCAGGGGTTGCCACAAGGAAGAGGGAGTCAAGCTACTCTCCAAAGCACCTGAAGGCAATGGGTTTAAACAATTCTAGGAGAGAGTCAACCTAGAACTAAGGAGAAATTTTGGGACTGTTAAGAACAACCAGTGCAATGGCTTGCCTTCAGAAGTTACGGGTGATCCAACAACTGAAAGTTTTTAAGAAGAGATTGGACAACTATTTGTCTGCAATGGAATAGGGTTTCCTGCCTGAGCAGGGGTTGGACTAGAAAACCTCCAGGGTCTCTTCCAACTCTGCTGTTGTTAAGTTCTCAAGCCAAGGGATCAAATGCCTTGCGCCAGGGGTGGGATTCTACTGGTTCAGACCGGTTCTGTAGAACTAGTTGTTACGATTCTGCACAGTTCGGAGAACCATCAAATGGTGCCCCTGGCTGGCCCCGCCCTTCTCCGCCCACCCACCCCTCCCCACCCAGTCACCCCTTAAGGTATTTCTTTTTTTTTTACCTCCCGGCGATCAGCTGTTCCAACGATCAGCTGTGCTGGGATCCCCCTCTCTGTCTTACTTCTTCACCCAGGAGGCTTCCCTGAGGCCCAGGAGGGTGCTGCAAAAAAGGAAGAAGAAGGAGAAGGAGAAGGAGGAGGAGGAGGAGGAGGAGGAGGAGGAGGAGGAGGAGGAGGAG